TGGAGTATTGAAGCGAAACGAAGGGAGGAGGATGACGAGCTGTCTATTTTTGCCGGTCATACTCGATTTATATCAGCGAGTCAAAAGTCCGGTAGTGATTCACATGGACCGCAAAACCAACAACAACGATATTCCAATGCGGTGTGGACGCCAGAGTACTTGGATACTGCATCAGAAAGCTCGCCGTTGTACTCTCAGTCCTCCGTTCCACTCCATTACCCTTATGCATCCTCCGAAGGAACGATGCGTGACCTGACCATAAATACCTTCGGAGGTATACCATCCGCTGGTTGGGACGATCCACTTTTCCACCTCTCGTCTCGTCATCAGATACCTATTTCACATGAAAGGCAAGGAAACCGTACAACACCACGGGTACCTCCACCGCTTTTGTCATCCCAATTTTATTCTTCGCCCTCCTCCCACCAATCATCTCCACAGACGTATTCGGAGCAGCAATCATATCGTAACCCATCATATCTACAACAGCAGCCAGATTATTCAGCCCGGCGTCCGAGTGCGCAGCATACTCACGATTATTGTCAGACGTACCTGCAATCCACGCAGTACACTCGTCAATCCTCCGAGCCCCAAGCCCTTCATCCTGGCAACATGAAGCTTGTCAATCTGGGCCTCGCGGCGCGTGATTCTAGACTGGATGAAAGATGGAGCTCGTTCATGCATGACTCTGGGATCTTGGAGGATATCAGTGATGGCACGTGTTGAAACGTGCTTGATTACCAGAACGTGTCATTTACTATCTTCTGTACCCATTTCGACTCTGCGTTCTATGCATCAGGATTAAAACTTGTTCCCGTAAAAAAAAATTGAGTCGGCGGACTACGAAGCTCCGGTACGGGGAATCGAACCCCGAGCTGCCGCGCACAGTCCCATGAAAGGCGGCAATGTTAGCCGTTACACCATACCGGATTACTACTTACATCGCTTTTAGTAAGTAATAATTTGACATTACTCCGCTGAGACGATCCTCGCGACTCGAGGAGAAATTCAAAATTTGCGGCATGACCACGAAACGGCCAGCACAATTGAATGAAAGAGCACGCGACAAGGTTAGGTCGGGCTGCCAACGTTACATAAAAACGAAAAGCAAGGCAGTGGGCATTCTCGTCAAAAATGAAGAAAAATAACCGTTAGTTTGAAACTTCCTCTTGGGCATGCATCTATCACAACTCCACATGATCAATGCCCGAATTTCTAGTCACAGTTTTCCCTTCAGCCTCTCGCGTCTTCACATGAACATGAACGTACCCATCCTCCACATCCTCAAAAAGAACCGAATCATCCTCAACCAGAAACAAATCCCCATTCCCCCACCTCTCCACCTTCTCGCTCATCTCAAACACAATCTCTCCACCTCCCGCAATGTCCTCATGCGTAATAATCGGCTGGTCAATAACTCGTCCATTGATAGTCAGGGACTTGATGAAAGGCTTCGTTGGTGCGCCCAAGGCTGATATCGTCAACGTTTTTGAGGTGGACAATGAGGAGGATGGCGGAAGGGTAAGCTTTATCTTGTCGAAGAAGGGTCTGTTTTTAAGCGAGTATGAGGAAGGGAGTAGTGGGTAACAAAGGAGAAACACGTACGATCCAACTACATATTCCCCAGACACGGGATTAACGGGGTAAAATCCCATAGCACTGAATATATACCATGCGCTCATTTGTCCACAATCCTCGTTCTATTATGGAAGGGCCCATCGAGTGAGTACTTCACTTTTCCCAAAAGAGAGAGAGACCGACGTACACCTGACAACCCATTCGGGGTATTATTATAATTCGCCTTCGCGATTTCTCGGACACGTAGTTGAGTCTTGTAAGCTGCACCCGCGAGAGCGTATAGGTAGGGTATATGATGGGAAGGCTGATAACAAACAATATCATGAGTGATTTGGGCATGGTATAAGATCAAGTCCAACCTCGTTAGTATGATCATTATGTCCTCCATCGAAATGTTCATCCAAGCTCTTCACGAAACTTTCGTTTCCTCCTCGTTTGGCAATGAGCGTGGGGACATCATGTACAACATCGAATGAGTACGCCCATTTGTCGCCTTTGTGTTGGAGAGGAAAGGAGAGTACGTTAGTTTCCTCAATCCTCAAATAAAGAAAATAAACATACCTTCAGTCCATCCTGCATCTTCCCCAGCCCAACTCCCATCCTCATTCCTCGCTTCCATGAACCCGGTATCCGAATTAAACAACGTGAAAGGCGCCTTCATCGACCGTTCATATAGGAATGTCGTTACATTGGATGGCTGGCCCAAAGCGGAAGCGAGCACGTAGGCCGCATAATCGTCATCTGTAAGAGAATGAGAAAATGTACAGCAGAGGGTGAAGGAAGATACGAACATGCGTAATCCAAAGTCCTCGAGGCGCTCTCAGAGTGGATATCATCTGCTACCCACCCCTTCTTCGCGTATGAAGAGCTCAAGCCAGCGCGGACTTCATAATCCACGTCCTAATGGATTCGCCGTGGTGTAAGGATAGGCTG